GTCTGCAGGGGTCTGCAGAGATGTTTTCCATCTGTTTCCTTATCCTGGACCTGTACAGACGTGCAAAGTACAGACTGGATAACGGCAGTGTAAAAAAATAACTAGCAGCTCCTGCAGATGAACTTGCTGAGCTGCCACAGGAAGTAGGAATGTTGAATATTATTTTTGTTTGTGGCTTATTGGCCAATATATGATCGCTGAATAGTCTTGTTAAGCAGACTGGACAACAGCGACGCCTTGTGGCAAAGACCCAGAAGGTTCATTCGGTTAATCTGAAAGTAGCTTTTTTAGTGGGAGAAACTTTTCGTAACTCATTAAAGGGACTTCCTCAGCCTTGCCTGGATGATGAACCATGCACCAAGACTTGTGGCAAAGAGTTTAATTACGGTAACACGAGATAACCATTCATCTCTAGCTTTATTGTCAGGAGTCTAAGTCCATAATACAATTAAAAGAAAATAGGAATGAATGAAGTTTTTTTTTTTTTTTAAAGTTTTTAAAGTAGAGCCTCATCTGGAAGGTCCCATCATTGTTGGGGAGGATCTCTCCATTATCCACGCTTTCATGAAGCTCCTCTCCATCTTTCCTCCAGAACATCTTGGCTCTTTAAGGATAGAAACTTGTAGCGTGGCAGCTGACTGGAGAGGAAGGAAGTCTTCTGGAGGAGAGACACTGATGGAAGAACTACAGAGAGAAAGGAAAAAGTGACAAATGTTAGATTCTGATTTGTACTCTATCTAAGAAAAAGGAAGCCATATGAATTTCCCCGCTTACTACATCAGATTATGTGATTATACCTGCTGTCTCCAGAAAGCTCCTCCCATAGTGGAAATGCTTCTTTAAAAACTTAGGGCATAAATGGCTTGAAGAGCTTTTATTATGTTGTAATCGGGCATGTTCCATATTCCATATTAGTTTGGTGATGACAGCCTGTGGTTTTGGAGTGATCTGCAGTGATCTGCAGGTCAAACACTATAAAGTCTTCTTCATCATAACCATACTGATTGTATCCATTAATTTCTCCAGTCTCATCATTC